AAATACTTCTCAATACTCTTACAATATGAATTCCTCGTATCTATTTATACTCTCAGTATGTTTACAGTACAAGCTTACAGTGTGACTAGCATGGTCTCTTGCAGTTTGAATTACAGGCTTTGCTGTCCAAAAGTCTGCCAGTGTCAGACCCTCAAGTATCCCTGATGCACAAGCACATCCTGGACTTTGCAGCCCCCTTTATGCAAAGTGGGAAGAAGGATGAGTTTCCCTGGCAGGCTATGGGGGAAATAAAAAAAGGAGATACATATATATATATATATAGCAGCATCTGTTCAAAGGCTTCATGAGGCTTGGCATCTGCCCATATGCCCAGCAGATGCAGTGGACAGTGCAGAAATGAGACCATGTACCACGTGAACACATGGCTCATCACAAGGAAGTTGCCACTGAGCACAGCTTAAAGTGTCTATCCAGAGCAAGAAACCGCTAAACAAACATTAACTAAAGTTGCTGAAATGATAGATCTTTCTGGCAGACTCCAGTGCTCCCATGGGATAACTCAGCTTCGGCTACGTGGGGACACATAAAATCCACCAGCAGCTTGTGCTTGTTTGCCAAAGGAAAACCTCTAAGTCAGTGAAAACAAGACCCACTGCACACACCAAGGACATGTCAGCACACATGTGTACACATGGGAAACCCAGATGCAGTCACCTCCTGCCTTAGGTCATGCCAAAATGAAAAGTAAATCCTGGGAACAAGCCCCGACTCCTTTTCCAGCAAAACAGCCTCAGCACACTGAGAACATACAGAGTCAATGGGGGCAGACCTGGCTTAGCTGTTCCTACAGAGCTGCCATTGCTTACCAGTAGCCTTAAGAGCCTAAACGTCTGTTTGCATAGTGTTAAAACCCCCATCAGCACAGGCAGGACACAAAGCTAGTTCAGAAGCTTCCAGGGAATCAATCATCACATTGCCCTGTACCAGCTACACTTACTGCCCTAGAGAAACTGGGAGAGGGCTCGCAGTGATGCTAAAGCACTTGGAGAAAAGAACCAGAATGAACATTAAAACAAAGGAGAAAAGGAAAAATAAAAACCTATGGGCTACACAGTCCTTCTGAGCAAGTATATGTATTTTAGAAGGACCATCTGATCTGAGTTAATGGTGACGAATAACAGGGTTATCTTCTTCTTTCTCTCCTAGCTTGCTACAACAGTTACTACACTAAGAGCATGCACTTCATTCTTAGATGGAACTTGCTCACCTTCAGTACCCAGTCATCAGCTTGGTCCTGACTTACTGACTTAACAAGTCCTCTACAATATAAACCCAGAAACTTTCTCCCAGTTTTAAGCACCTCCAAATATGATCAAATCATCCTTAACTCCTCCTTCAAAGCCACCTGAGCTCTTTTGGACACTCATTCAAAGCACTTTACAGTGTTTGAGTTACTCTCCCAGGCTGTTATCACACCTCCCCAATCCTGCAAGCGAGGGCATAGGAGGTGGGAACAGGACCCCAAGGACGACCAATTTCCTGCATCCCCTCCCTCCACTCCAGGCATTCCTGTGGCCTGGGAGAGGGAGACTGAGCAGCAGGACCACAGCCTGGGAAACCACATCTCCAGCTCCCGGCTGAGAGTCCTGCTGCCTGGGAGCTCCTGGGGGCTGCTGCCACCTAGAGATGCTCACACAGCAAGGCTGCGGGCAAGCCGCCCCGCACACCCCACCGTGTCCCATAGCAAAGGCACACAACGCACCCGAGCAGCTCACCAGCTCTGGCAGTGACTTGCATAAAGCTGTTTTTCCATCAAGCCGCTGAACAGAAGCATGCCGCTGATGATGGGCTGTGCTTTAGACACAGTGTGAGTGAACTTGCTGCAGCTTTCTTAAATTTATTTTGGTTTAAAAATTAAAATAAAAAATATTAATAAAAAACTAACATCCCTGAAAACTAGAAGAAAACATTTAGCTACATTAAGGGCTGTGGCTAATTCTCTGCTAGAGAACTGAAGGCACATTTCAGATCAACTCAGTATTACAAACTAAGGTCAGGAGTGCAAAGCAGCACTTGCAGACCAGCTCAAGTGCACCCCACAGGGTGCTGGGCCCTCTGCTACCATGCTCCTAAGGGAGTGGGCATGGCTTTCCCTGCTACCCATACCACTGTGCTCCTGTGCAGCTTCAGAGGGCTTTTTCTTTTGTGAGTTGCTAATGCCAAGTCTCATTCGGTTTACTCACAGGCATGTATTTCAGGTCTTATTATTAGTGTTTTCATGTTAATCACAAGCACAGCTCTTCGTGCCGGAATCCATACGCATACACATCAGTTACCACCTCTTTAAAAGAAGAGTCACAGCTCAGTCACTGGGACATTTTGCAGTGCCGGTATCAGCAGGCAGGTGCACACACGCAGGCTGCCTAGTACAACCTAGTGCCAAAGCTGCTCCGTGGGAATGCCTCAACAGCAGAGCCAGATCCCCTCTCTTCTGCCCTGCAGCAGCGCTGGGGACACATGGGGACAGTGGCAGCCTGCCCTGTTTCCGATGCAGAGACATCCCCACACCACAACTCTGAAGCATGGAGAGGAGCAGGACTCCCAGGAGGGATGCAGGGTCCATGACAGCACCCACTCCCCTTCGGTAAGAGGAGCTGGGACAGGACATCCTCTTTGCAGGGTCTGAGTCATTCGACAGCAGTTCCAGGCTGAAACTCCCAGTCAATATTTATCGTGCCTTTGCAAAGGCACTCGGAGCTCAGCCTAATTTTAACCATCAAATAGACATCGTGGCGGAATAAACGGGAGAGATGCCAAGGAGGGCTGCTGCAAAAGAGAGGAGCTGCATCTCTCCAAAGGTATGTGGCATGTCCCATCTGACATGGCCCAGAGAAGAGCAGTGGCACGAAATTAAAGCTTGCCCCTACATCTGCCTGAACACACTCTTCACTGAAAGAGAAAAAAAATGAATGTAAAAAGCTGTGAAAATATCTGAAGTACAATTAATTTCTCAGAGCAGTCTGAATACTTCAAACAGCACTAAGTTAATTTGGCTCTAATTATTTAACAACTCGCCAGCCCCATATATCAGAAAAAGGAGTTAATTTATCAGCTATTCCCAAGCAGAACAAAGACTTGCCAGCTTCCAGGTAACAGCCCAAGCTGTTTGGCTCACGTGACCCTGGCTGAGCTGTGTACTGCAAACATTATATGCCCAAGCATGGAGACAGAAGAAATCGAAAACCCCCAATGTATTCACATATTTACATCTTAACCAATGGATAATGAAATCAAAAGTTTGGCCAAGAGCATGAGCAAGGGCATCACCATCTCCCTTGATGCTGCTGCCTTTGTTTTCAGCACCAGAGCCCATCCTGATACCCCTGAAAGCCAGGGGAGCCCGAATTATGGAGGGACCCAAATACTTGCAAATCAAGGCTCCCCTACCCAGCCTGCTTCGCTATTTCAGCAAGCGCCAAGAGTCAATCATTAACAGCTACCATTACCCAGAGCTACGCCCAAACCCTTCCAAATAGAAAACATCACTCCATGCCTGTTAGTTTTATAAATGGGTTTGGGTTTTTGCACCATGCAGGGCACTGAGGCTTTTCTGCAACGCAGATCCAGGAGGATTCCCCAGAGGCAGCAGGAAGGAAGGAGAGCAACTCTGGACCGATGCCTTTCACTGGGGTATAAATCCAGCAAGGGAGCATCTTTGTGACTGTCCACTCCAAAAGCCATGTCCGAGCAATGGGGAAGGAGGGCTGGAGAGCACAGAAGCAGCCCGGTGGGGATGGCTGCTGCCCTTACTCAAGGGGCAGGCTACGGGGAAAGTCTTAGACAGAAAAGTATCAAGTCAGAGGAAGAGACAGGCTGCATGTTAACAGGGAGGCAAGCAAAAAGGTCCAGCAAAGCAGAGCCTGCAAAACAAGGCTCCTCCAACTGGGATTTACCGATTCCAACTGTAGGAAAAGAACGTATGAGACCAAGAAGCGGCAGCCGCGCAGCGTTTTACCCCTCCCGATTTCAAGGAACACAAAACAATCACACGCAGAAAAAGTAAACTGCTCACCAAGATCAAAAACCGCCTCGCAAAGCTTAACCTGGAGAGCAAAGCCGGGACACTCTTCTTGTGCTGCTCATCAAACGTTATCATCTCAGTTACATAAAGCCCCAAAATACAAATCGAATTGTGAGAATGAGGAGCTGTTGAACCAGTGCCGCCCAAACATCATGAATTTTGCATCACCGGGGAGGGGAAAATGGGGAAGAAAAGTTACAAGGATTGAAGAGATTCCCTTCTAACGTTTTATTCACAGCAAAACGCTCCCGAAAAGCGCGATGCGGCGGGAGGCGATCCCGGTGCCCTCCCCGGGAGACTACACCAGCACAGCCCGTACTACGGCGGCGGCGAACCCTGCTCCGATGCCATATAAGAATGTAAAATACCCGAGTCAAAGCCGCAAGTTTCCCTCCAGAAAGTTAAACCACCGGGATAGAGGAAAATGCGCCTTTTCCGGCTTTAATTTCCAAGCCGCCGGCTCCTTCCCTGCCCCCGTACGCAAACACCCTCAGACCCGCGTTTATGTTGCACTGTTTAGACACACCTTGTAGACACAACGTCTACGTCTGACGGGGGGAGAGCAAGCTTCCTCCTCTGCCCGGTGCAGCGCGAAACCACGGAGGACGCAGCCCCGTCGGGGCGGCAGCGGCACCTGACGGGGGGACCCCGGCGGGGAGGGAGCCGCTGCCGCACGGGAGCTTCCCGGCCCCGCTCATTCGTAGCGATAATAACTACGAGAACCGAGACCCGCGGGCGCCGGGCAGCGGCGAGAGGTCCGCGGCCGCACGGCGATTCCCGCAAGAGCTTGTCGCCCTCTGGCCGCCGCCTCTCCGCGGGACCCGAACAAACTCCCGCACCCCTGCGCCGGGCACGGGGACCCGCAGCCCCCCGCCGGGCTGGAGGAAAAGTTGTGGGGATGGCTGGGCTCCGCAGCCCCATTCCCCACCCCTCACCGCGGACCGGGCCGCTCACCCACCTGCCTGCGCCGCCGCGGCGGCCCGCGGGGCTCCGGCCGCCGCCACCACCAGCACACAGCAGCTCCACCACAGCAGCCCCCCGGCCGCCGCCGGCATCGCGCCGCCGCCGCTGTCCTCAGCGCCTCCGCCTCAGCGCCGCCACCGCCGCCATCCCCCGCGCAGCCTCCGCCGGCTCCCAAAAGTTGCCGCCGCCGAGCCGCCGCCCCCAGCGCCGCCCCTCCGCGGGCGCGCCGCGGCGCCGACGGGGCGGCCGCCGTTTGAGCCCGGCCGCGGGGCGCTGCGCCGCCAGCACGCGCGGAGCGCCGCGGAACGGAGCGAACGGGAGGAGGAGGGTTTGAACGGGAGGGGAAACGGCGGGCGGGGGGGGGGGGGGGGGGAGGAGCGGCGGGACGGAGCGAAGGGGCGGGCGGGGGCCGAACGCCGCGCGGGACCGCCCCGTGCGCTGCCCCCCCACCACCCGCCCGCTCCTCACCTCAGCCCCTCCGCACCTGCGGAGACGTGCGGTGCGCGCGTGCGCGCGGCCTCCCGCTTCCCGCCTCTCCCCCCCCCACCACCCCTTTCCACTCACAAACGAGGGGCAGGTGCTCGCGTCCTTTTCCCTCCTCCCCTTTTCCCAAGCAGGGAAAGTTTGTCCCGTTTCCGTTCGTGTTCCCGTTCCCGTCCGTTGGCAGCGCGCGGGCCCCGTCCCTTGGGAAGGGACACAGCTCCTGACAGAGCCAGGAGAGGGAGGGGACACCACAGCCGAATGGCGGAGGAAGGGGTCTGAGGCGAACGCCGCCATCTCGGGCCCAACCCAGCCCCCGGTGCGTTTGGGGGTGCTGGCAGGGGTGGAGCGCTCCGGCGGGGCAAGGCGTTAAGGGTGACAAGGAGAGGGGTGGTGGCAACCCGGAGCTCGCTCACCGCTGTGGTGGGTGCACTGGGGAGGGTGGTGAGCTGTGGGGCACGGGGTGCCATCTTGGAGAATCAGGGTGGGAAAGACCTTTAAGCTCATCCGGTCCAACCATTACCACGGCACTGCGAAGGCCACCACTGCGTGTGTGCCCTCAATTGCCTTGTCCTGGTGTTCAGTAAGGATATTAAACAACGCTGGCCCTAATACTGATTCCTGAGGGACATCTCTCACCCGTGTGCTAAGTATCCACCATCTTGATGGCTCCTGCCAGCACCTTGACACCTTGTAGCTGCACCCAGATGTGGGCGATTACAGTGCAGGGGTCCTGTGAGCACCAGCCATGCTGCTGCGGCATCCCCCTCGCTGTCACCCACCCTGGTACAGGGGTGAGATGCTGACACACACATCCTCCCTAACATCCAGGGGATGGCATTTTGGGAAGGCTTATGCTGGCAAGATAGAAACTGCAAATCTCAGTATCTCATCGCAGCTTTGAGACAGTGTCTGCCATTTGACATTTGCCTATAGTGACAGGACAAAGGCAAATGGCGTTAAACTGACAGAGGGAAGATTTAGCTTAGATAATAGGAAGGAATTCTTCCCTGTGAGGGTGCTGAGGCACTGACACAGGGTGCCCAGAGAAGCTGTCACTGCCCCATCCCTGGCAGTGGTCAAGGCCATGTTGGACACAGGGGCTTGGAGCACCCTGCTCTAGTGGAAGGTGTCCCTGCCCATGGCAGGGGGTTGGAACTGGGTGAGCTCTAAGGTCCCTTCCATCCCAAACCATTCCATGATCCTGTGATTAATCTCTCTTGACAAGTTGAATGGTATCCTCAGAGCCCCTGTCAGAATGAACTGAGCTCTGCAAATGTGCAAGAGAACATAGAATCATCTTTGTTTCTTCTTTCCCTGAAATATGTGCTTTAAGATAAGTTTTTGCTGCCTTCTCACCCCAGCCCAGCCTTTGTGGATCTCAATATGAAGGTCCTCTCCTTACCCTTTTATCTGGTCTACAGGATGCTTCCTGGAGCACTCCTCTTCCCAGTGACCGTGGCAGCTTTCCCCTGCACCTGGAGCAGGTTTAGTGGAAGAGAACGGCAATGAGCATCTTCCCTCCAGCTGCCTCCAACCAAAGAGTTTTCCCAGCTCAACTTCATCCCCTCCCACCAAACTGCCTATTTTCCAGCTAAGCTGGAGACTTGCTTGTCTTTAGAAACCAGACGAGATATCCCTGGATCAGGACAGTACTGCAGGTTGAATTACAGCTCTTTCTCCAAAGGGCCAAAAGTTTTAGCTGAAAAGAGTTAGCTGGGCTCTGCAAAAAGGAGGCTGTAAAGAAGGAGGTTTTACTGTTCCATCTCGCTGCGTACGTAAGTGGTGGCAAACTGGCAATTCCACCTGACAGGAGAATGAAGAGGCAGGGGGGAAGCAGAGCCCTGACACATGGAGTGTTCAGCACCTTCCTTAGGGTATCCCATGAGAGCATCACTTGGGTGAGGCCACCCGAGAGCCAGCCCTTGCCCTTGCCAGCAGGGTTAGCAGCAATGCTAATCATCCCCCATTGCCACCCTTAGGAAAGAAGCATAATTCCTTCCTTTTGCAGGGATGGATCCAACGGGAGGCTGTGAGACAAAACTCGCTCAAATATTGAACTGGAGAATTTTTGCTCTATCTGCCTTTCAGTAAACAGTGACTAATTGCTCTGGCTGGAGCTGCCGTACCTTCAAGATTGGAAGGTGCAGATGGAGCAACGATAGCAGAGGCTCCTTACCTAATGTTGGCTGTACATTAATCACAAATGTTTGCTATGCAAATCTTGTCATACAAAGCAATTATTGCTGTTCCCATACTGACCTCATGTTTATTTATTACATGAGCTCTCTATTTGAACCTTGTCTGGTCTTCTCTTCCCTTATGAGCATATTAGCGTGTAGCTTCCAAAGGCACCCAGCTGAGAAATTGTACATTTATTTGTAGCATGGAGGCATGGTGAGCACCACACCGCCTACAACGGAGAGCCGAGAGCCTCGGCTCTTATGCCAGTGGCTTCTCATGCAAAACATTCTCACCTCGAGGTCTTTTGTTGGGATGAAGGATGCTTTCCAATAGCACAGGGCCATGACACTGGATTTGCTCTGATTCGACACCATTAGCCGGTGGTTAATGACACTGTCAACGCAAGGAGCTAGGCAATAAAACTCTCGTTGGGCTTTCTTAGGGCCTGCTTAGTAAAAGTAGAGTTTTACACAGTCCTTTGTCCTTGGCTTTGCCACCTTTGCCTAGATCCAGGATGAGAAGTTGCAAAAAGATTTAACTCCGCCACTGAATAAGTTGCATTTGTGTTGCTGAAAGAGCCGGCATTTGCGTGGCTGAAGCACTAGGTATTCTTAAGCACCAACTATGGTCTTGCCACAGGAGTTTTCTCCATGTGATTTAATGTTGAGCAACAGTGGCATCCGGTGGGCAGAGGGTTTCCTCCCTGACAGCTCACATCATCTCGCTCCCTTCCTTTTATCTTATGGTTTCTATAGGTTATCATTAAACAGGACATAAATGTAGCTGGAGTTAGGGTTCTTGTTTTCTCCCCTCTTTCTTCAGTTGGGCTGCACAGCAGGCAAAGCCATGTGTTAACTATTGCAGCATTACAGGTTTCTTCCAAAGACGCTAGAAGATGCTGTGCTCTATAAAGTGGAAGTAGGCAGACTGAGTAGTGACTAGTGAGTAGGGAGTAGTGACTTCTGAAATCAGCTGCCCCCCACCCCGAGCCGATCAATCTGGTTCTGCAGGGACCCTGCCTGTCTCATATCACAGGCAAGGCTCCATCCTTCCCGTGAAGGTGTTGGGAAGGGTCTCCTTATGTGCCTGCTTCAAACCAGACCCTCCTGTCTGACCTCTCATCAGCTCTCTCCCCATCCATACTCTATTGGTGTGTTTTAATCCCTCAGAGCCTGAATCAAATGGAACTCCCTGCTGTATCCCTCAGCCTTCCCTGCAGCCTCCCTGCATCTCTTGCTGCTCTTTTTTCTGCTCTCACTGCTAGTTTCAATTCTTCCCAGTGTAGTGTCCTTTTCCAGTGTGATTAAAACAGCATTTCCCATTGCATCCACATCATTAATAAAGCCAGTAATTAACAGCAGGCCTTACGATGAACCCCGCGTTGCCATGCTGTATCCTTTCCCCTGCCCAAATTGCCCCTCTCCAGCATGGACCACGCTGGGAGCAGTCAGCTTGCTGCTGCCTTTCTTCCCTCTCCAAGAGGAAAGGGAGGAGTGCCTGTAACAGCAAGCGGGGATTTGGGGAGCTGGTGAGCATCTTGATCCTGTTGGAAAACAGCACCTTTAACCCATAGAGAGCTCTGCCTCTTCCACAGGACTGTTAGAAAAGGATCAGACATTTAAGGGCAAGACAGTTATATTGAAGAAGAACCAGGAGCGATTAAAGGCTTTTGTGGTTCAAAGCATAAATCAGCCTTTTACTGCTTCCCCTTGCAGGGAGTGCAGTCGTGAACATCCAACTCAGGGAGTTTTATATCTCCTTGTGGAATAACTGGGGGAGAGCAGCACCAGGGAGCAGACAGGGGACCATCCACCCGCATCAGTGCTGCCAATACAAGGATGCTGCGGCATCCCGCTGGCTTTGGGAGGGAGGCTGAGCCTGTTGGCATGGGGAGCAGTACTTGGGTGTGCACAGAGCTGGTTTCAATGGCTGCTTCACCCCTGCTCCCCTCTCCTGGTGGTAATTTATTGCTAGTGCTTTCCCTTTGCCAGCGCAGAAACTCAGATCTAATGCCCAGATCTAAACCTGAGCTCATTAAACAGTCACGTTTTACACAGTAGCACAGGCACCCTATCCAAATGAGTGCCTGGCTAATTGCCTTCTGTGTGAAATTGGGTTTGTGGTTTCCCTGGGGCCATGCGTGGTTTCCTCTTCTCCTCCCCCAACTCTTTGGTTATCTTCCCAGTTGCTGATGAGCATTTGAGTTGCAGAATATACTGCCATAAACGTGCTTTCCAAACCTCTGGGTTTCCTTATGGCATGGCTGGTGCAGAGGCAGGAGGGTTGCAGAAAGTTCAATGTGGCAGAGCAACCAATGCCACACTGGGCTAAACCTCAGCAGGCAGTTTGGGAGTGCAAACACCTGAGATGTCACACAGAGTAGGTTTGAATCATACGTGTAAGGCTTTAGGTCAAAGCATCACTTTGTTTTCACCACTTCTGGCAGTGTCAAGTGGAACAGAGCTGGCCAAGCTGGCACATGTATAACAAGCACTGGGTTACACCTGCTTGCTGGGCTAGAAGAGGATAGATATACATCACAGTAGTAAATTGTTTAGCTGAAAGCATGGGAGAACCTGTGCCTTGCACAGCAGCATCTTGTGTCATTAAACAAAGCAAGCATGTGTCAGCTGTGGTGACAGAGATGCTC